GAATTTTAACACTGACCTAAACAAATGAGGGTTTCTGCAGGCTACAAACATTAACATCGACACTTTGGTTCATACAAGAACATTGATAAAACAGTTAAATATAACTTATTTCGCTGAAAAGAATCTTAAACACTGAAGGTTAAAAACAAGACGAGTGACTCTCTCTCTCGCTCTCTCTGAGTCTCTGGAGAGGATTTTGTTTGCTCTCTTGAACAGCCTGAACGTAACCGTTGCCAACAATAATAGGAAAAGGAATGGAGACAGATCCCGTGTTGCTTATACATACCATACAAAAGTGCATCTGTCGCACCGTCTCCAACACCACACACAGATACATACTGCATGGGGGCTAAACTGGAATCATTACTTTCGATAGTCCTGTAGTGTAGTGGTTAGTGCACTCGCTTCGCAAGCGAGAGGATCCATGTTTAATTCCCGGGTGGGGAGAAACCTTAGGCCAGTTTTCTTACCCCACATGCTTTTGTTTACGTAAATTGGAACCTCGTGGTTAGTCGAATGGCGGATCGCTTTCCGGGGGTAATAATCCCTCCAAATAAATAATTAATTTTCTCATTCAATCCATGGCTGTTGTCAGTGTTATGTGGGACACCGCTGTGCGCAATTGGCTGCTGTTTCGCCCACAAATTGTAGTTAATTCACTTTACTGTATATTCTGTGAAGCGTTTTCAGACTCCTCAACGATGTAATAAGATTATTACCCCTGGAAAGCGATCTACCGATCGACTAAAACCGGGTTCCTACTCACTGCTAGCAAAACGAGGCGTGTTGAGTAAGGAAATTTGCCTAAGGTTTCACCCCACCCTGGAATCGAACCTGGGTCCTGTCACTTGTGAGGCGAGTGCTCTAACCACAACACTATGGGACTCGTAAAAAGGAGTGACCGGGTTGATAGGACGTAGGGTGGAGGTGAGGTCGTGGAGGGAAAAAAAATTATCTTCTCTTCTTGAAGCGTCCCAGCACACCACTCACAAACTCTCTGCGTGTCAATGTTCCTTTCATTTTATTGTCATCTGATCTGCCAAGGTACATGTTGAAGATATGACATACATGTAAGAACAATTGATGTACTGGTCAGGCCATTATTTTTTTGTCGTAGTTTGATATGACTTATTCGTACTGTATTTACAAAGTACATTTGAAGAGCAAGGGGCCTTGTCATCATCGTGATCATACATATTAGAAACAATAAAAAAAATAGAAGTTAAGAACTAAAATGTACATCATACACTTGATATATCTTTTTACACAGAGGTAAAAATGCTTATTGTAAAAAAAACTAATAATCAATACAACAGGTTTTTTTTTAGTATACAAGAAGATAGTGGATGTGTGTTTCAGGCACTTTCTTTTTTTTAATTGTTTTAAGATGTGCATTAGCTAAAGACTGCACTAAGGGGCAGCTTCTGGATTCACTTTTCTTACCACAGATACAAAAATAAATGTTTTTTTTCACCAGGCAATTGCTGTTTGTATTGCAAAGCTGACAGGGTGGGTGGGTTGGGGGAGAGGGAAAAGGAAGGGAGTGATTGCAGTGATGGGGGGGGGGGGGGGGCGGGAGGGGGGAACGAGGGGGAAAAAGATGAATCGCCGCCGCTAGATAACGTCACCGTGGAAAAAACTATGTACAAAGAGAGGAAAAAAACACAAGAGCTGTAAGATTCCCTGCTTAACGTACACTGCCCGCCTCAATTTTACAAATTTACAATCTGTGTATGTGCGGCAAGAACCACTGATGTCAAAACGTCTTTTACTTTTTTTTGTGGTTTAACATTTTTTTTAAAAAATTGGTTTCCGAACTTTTTCCGAAAAAAAAATTCCCCCCAAAAAATGTTAAACCAGGCAGCCTTCTTCTGCCTAGAAGTCTGTCTGTCTTGTCACGTGCCTTCCTTGAAACAGAGTTTGGAGGCAATGCTACTCAGGTTATACCAGTAAAAGCTGCAGCAATGGTTTCAGAGATTAGTGTTGAGTTGAGCGCCTTATTGGCGTTTTGAATTCCAATATAGTCGAGGACCCTACAGCAGTCTTTAATGCAAATTGAAATCAATATTTGAAAAAAATCTTTTAAGTGTGCATATACAGTATATTTTTATATATATCTACATACATACGCGTACGGAGAGGAAATTCCACCCGGGGTCTACATTCGCTCTATTGATTGACGATTAAAACCCTTATGTTTTGCTTCTGTAGCCTTCCTTAAGCATCCAGAATATATACAATTCGACGTGGAATTATGTAGTGCATTTCATGTTGGGAGGACGTCTCAAAGCGCTTTGCACAGCTGGCTGAACATCTGAGCTGGTTGGTTGGGGTTTGGGGGGCAATCTCCTCACGGAAGGCTATGAAAGTGGGGAGGGGGTTAGGGGGGGAAGGGGGCGAGACAGAGGGACTCTGGCTGAAAGCTTGGCTGCCATCGGTGATAAGCTGGTGAATTTTGTCTGTCGTTTTGAAGCCGGTTTAAAAAGAAAAACGTCTTTCAGGCCATACTTGAGGATTTGTCAAAATTCTGGATGCTCTGAAGATGCTACGCTAAACAGACGGGGAATTTCTCCCCCTTACGTGTCGAGTATTTGTCCATCCACGTGAAGAGAGGTGTCCGTCTGTGATTAGACTCCACGATCGTCACACTCCAATACTGCAGTCGAGCTGAACTACGTCCAGTTCCTAACTACAGCACTTTGCGTCCTTTTTTTTTAATATAACGTGCATCACATGCTGATAATCAAACATCAGTTCTGCCAAAAAAATCGCAGCAAAAAAAATATCAAAGGAAGAAACCATAAGATAAACTTTAGTTTTTTTTGTAAAAAAAATCAGTATTGCATACACGGTTGAAAGTCTTTAGTTATTAAAAATGCGGATGTAGTGAACGAAATGACAAACACCCTCAACCTCGCCCTCCATCACTCCCCACACCGCCCCGCACCAAAAAACGAAGGGGGGGTGGGGGGGGAGAGAGAGGAAATAACACATAAACAATAACAATCAGACCAAAACAGACTGATGAGAAGTTTTCCTAGTTTACTGGTGAGACAGGAAGTTCTCTTTTCCTTTAAGACTGATGTTTTATGTGTAACAGAGGAGGGGTAAAGAGCATGTGTGTGTTGACCACTGGCTATCAATGCGGTGAGGGGGGGGGGGGGGGTGGGGGTTATCGCCAGCTTTAAGAGACCAGTTCTCTAGCTGCCTGCAACAAAACCAAACCAATCAGATTGTACTGTGCCTCTGGGTTAGAACTGCTGCGTTTCTTCCAATAAATAAAACAAAACAAAATGGCTATTTCCTGTGCTGTGTTACAAAAATATTCTTTTAAAGCATATCGCAAGCTTTTTCTACTTTAGGGTTATCGACTCCCCTTATTGACCTGAGCTATTAAGATTTTCTCGAAGGAAAAGCCCCCCTCCCATCCCGCCGTGCTTCCTTGAAGTTTATAGCCAGTGCGACCATAGCTACAGAACAACAACAGTTGTTGTAAGCTACAGAATTGATAAGGCCTCAGTTAATCCTCATTATCTAGGACACTTTTGTGCTTTTTATTAAACTTCACCTTAGATATTCCGCAATAATAATAATCCCTGCATTTGATATAGTGCCTTCTCACATGTCAAAGCGCTTCACAGAATATACTGTAAAGTGAATTGACTGTATATTTTGTAGGCGAAACGTGGCAGCTAATTGCGCACAGCAGTGTCCCACAAACAGTCGTGCACCAAATTATTATTATTATTTATATACTGAAGGTAATATTACCCCTGGAAAGTGATCCACCAATCGACTAACCACCGGGTTCCTACTTGCTGCTAGGTAAACAGAGGCGTGTGGAGTAAGGAAACTTCCCTAAGGTTGTGATTATTAATTATTATTAATAATTATTAATTAATGCGAATGAGATAATCCACACATGTACATCTGCGGTCGCGCTGGCTATGATGTTATATGCAGTGTGTGAAGGTTTTGAGCCCTGGTGCCTAGGGGAGCTTGGTTATATAGTGTCACTGGAAAACAAACTCTTAGTGTCTTGATGATTTGATATGAGAACGCTATTCGAGGAATCCAAAACGACTAACAACAAAAAAACGCAATTAATGTTTTACATTAAATTTTTTAAATTTTCACTTTTTTAAAAAAAAGTGGGGCAAAGTGTTATATTTTAAACTTAAGACTCGGTACTTGGTTTAGAGGCCAAACATTAATGATAATGTTCATCGCTTTGTACCCAAACGTCGGGGCTGACAACACCCAAGGTTAGAAATTAAAGTTTTAAAAAATACATCAAGGTGTGCGTTTGTTGAAAGGAAAGGAACTGCAGCTAAACAAACAGCAAATTCTTTTGGCTTCATACAGTAGTGACAATACTGTGGTGTGGTGCACGTTTACCAACTTTTTAAAAGGTAAAACCCCAGCTAGCCGGACTAATAGGGGGATGTGGCCTGGGTGACAGAGCTGAAACTTACAGCTAAGTACTTGCATTCTAACTGGCTGAACCCCGCAAGCAAAATATAGTAAATAAGCTATCTTCTGCTCGCGAGATTTAAACATTCTGATATCCCTGGCCACTGTGAAAGCCAGCGAGATTAGTGAGGCTGTTCAGCGCGGAGCTGATGCACGCTACGAGAGTCGGCGAGAGTCGACAGGCGCGAGGGACGGTGCAATTTTTTTTTAAGCCCACGGAATTAAAAAAAAATGTTTAGGTTTCGAGCCCATGGGGTGAAATCTAGACACCCAGAGTCCGGGAAACTGGGGGTTTACTGTATTTGAATGATATCTGACTACAGGTCAAGTGTCTCAGTTGATCAGGCAGGAGTCAATCACGCCAGCGCCCTCCACTAATTAGCACAACATCCTGTCGGCAAGAACGGCACAGTTCCCTGATGCACACGGTATACCTCAGCCAGAGTTCCCCTCGCCCAACCCCGTAACGTGCAACTCCCAAAACTTACTGCACGCAACACAAAACAGTTCTCAACCTCTCTTAAATCTTTTTGTTTCCTTTTTAAAAAATAAAAATTATAAAACGTGTCAGACATTCTCCGTTTCGTTACATATTCGTAGAAAAGTCACTACTTGTTACTGAATGTTAGTTCCGTGTTTAATGTTTGAAGAAAACGACGTGGTCTGTCTTGACGCCTCTTGGCCGGCCTTTTGGGCTCCAAGTTTCCATAAATGAGTAATTTTTCCCCAAAGATCGAGGTTGGCGATGATTAACTGTGTGTCAAAAAGACTCCAGACTTAAATGTGCTTCAATAACTGATGCTTTGAAACAAATAAAAAAGAAAAGATCAACCCACTGCTTTGTGTTTGCCACCGCAACACTTGCACATTACCCCGCACTTGTAGCACGCCCGAAGGGGCAGATAACAACACATACAAGGAGCGATGGTCGATAAGGCAATCAATGCCAGCCACCGAAGACAGAACTTCTCGTCGCTGGTGTCACAGGAACAAGGGTCCGAGTATTCCCCTTCAGGGTCAGACATGCAGTGGTACAGCATGCTGTCCGCGCACCACATGCAGCTGACTCGTCGGATGCAGCTCCGGATGGGGTCTGGGGCATCCTGGCACTGGCCCCGTCCGTTTTCCTCGTGGTTGAACATGTCCCTGCAGTACACGCACCGCGATCGCTCTCCGTCATCCTTCCGCCGCCTCGCTCGCGAGGTGACGGGCTGAGTCCTCACCACGCCGCTCTTGGCGTCTTTGCCCAGTCCGAAGTTCGAGTTCTCCGCGTAGGGGTAATTGTAATCATGTTTGGTGGCATCGCTCTTGTTGAAATGCACGTAGGAGTCCAGGTCGCCGCGCTCGTTGTATTTGGGACGCACCGCCGCGTACCGATAGTCCTCGTATCTCTCCCGTAACCACGCCTTCTCCCGGGGATTGATGCGGACGATCTCTTCGTCATCGTCTCGGAAACTGACGTGACGCTGTTTCGGAACAGACTGAAACACAAGCCACAAAAATGTTGCAAAGTTAAAACCGAGACAATTATTTTTTTTTGCCCCTAAAAACAGGCTGTTCTGGAAGTCGATCCTGGGAAGGAATACCAGTGATTAAGTTTTCAGTGTTTCAATTGTATTAATAGATTAAAATAATAATCCTGCGTTTGCAAGAGCCTTGGGACGCCCTCCCGACGTGAAAGGCGCTATACAAATGCACCTTTGTATGCTATACAAATATGCTATACAAATACAAATTATTTATTTATTTTTTGGAGGGATAATTACTCCAGGAAAGCGATCCACCAATCGACTAACAACCGGGTTCCTACTTACTGCTCGGTAAGGAAACTTGCCTAAGTGCTCACCCGCCCGGGAATCGAACTCGGGTCCTCTTGCTTGCGAGGTGACCGCGCAAACTACTGCCCTCAGCACTCCACCAGGATTAGCATTATTCAATAGCTGTGGTGAATTTAAATTCCTCCCCCCCCCACACACTTATAAGACCATAAGACGTAGGAGCAGGTGTAGGCCGTTCGGCCCCTCGAGCCTGCCCCGCCATTTAATAAGATCACGGCTGACCTTCTAACCTAATTCCATTTACCCGCCCTATCCCCATATCCCTTAATCCCTCTATCCTTTAGAAATCTATCAACCTCAGTCTTGAATATGTTCAAGGACTGAGCATCCACAGCCTTCTGGGGTAGAGAATTACACAAATTCACTACCCTCTGAGTGAAAACGTGTATCCTCAACTCAGTTCGAAAAGGTAGACCCTTAATCTTGAGACTATGAGACAATCTACGACTGTTTGTGGGACATTGCTGTGCGCAATTGGCTGCCGCGTTCGCCCACAAATTTACAGTCAATTCACTTTACAGTGTGTTCTGTGAAGCGCTTTGGGACGTCCTCCCGACGTGAAAAGCGCTATATCAAATGCAAGGATTATTATTATTATTATTATTATTATGACCCCGTGTTAAAGATTCTCCAATCAGGGAAACAGTCTCACGGCATCTACTCTGTCAAGACCCTCAAGAATCTTATAGGTTTCTTCTATAATCTAGAGAATATAGGCCTAGTTTACTCAGCCTATCCTCATAGGTCAACCCCCTCATCCCAGGAACTAACCTAGTGAATCTACGCTGCACCCCCTCTAAGGCGGGTATGTCCTTTCTTAAATAAGGAAACCAAAACTGCACACAATATTCTAGGTGCGGTCTCATCAAGGCCTTATACAACTGCAGCAAGACTTCTCTACTCTTGTACTCTAACCCTTTTGCAACGAACGCCCACTTCCCCAAGTTATACTCCATCTGCCACCTTCTTGCCCACTTACCTAGCTTGCCTATTTCCCATTGCATTCTTCGTGTGTCATCCTCACAGCTTACTCTCCCATCTATCTTCGTATCGTCCGCGAATTTAGATATGTTAAGTTCTATTTCCTCATCTAAATCATTGATATAGACTGATCCTAGTGGCACTACAGTAGTCACATCCTGCCAATCTGAGAAGGACCCGTTTATCCCTACTCTCTATTTTCTTCCTGTTAGCCACTCTCCAATCCATGCTAATATATTACCTTTAATTTTGTTCTGTTTAATTATGTTTTGTTTCCAACAGCTGTTTCTGTCCTTAGACAAGGGACAGATGATTGGAAATGAATTTCTGAAGTGTGAGTGGCAGGTGATCAGTGCATTTTTACTGGATTTTTACTGCCACTGTGGGAAGGGGACCATTCAATATGGCATAACCTAATGTAATTGGCAGGTCAAGTCACCAGAGAGGGAGCCAAGTCCTCAATGTATAAAGACTATTACATCTGAGCTTTTACAGTGCAGCAAACAGGGCCTCACCTCGTCCTCACTCAGCCTTACGTGGAATAGAGCACAGCAGAAGTAAACGCCAGTATGTAGTGCAAGAAACTAACCCTAATCCTGCCATTTGGTACAGCGCTGATCCCAACATCAGGTGGATGTCTCAGAGATCTTCACAGGATTTACTGTAAAGTGCAGTATAATAATAATCCTTGCATTTGATATAGAGCCTCATCACGTCATTGAGGCATCTCAAAGCGCTTCACAGAATATATTGTAAAGTGCACTGACTGTGTATTTTGTGGGCAAAACAACGCAGCCAATATCACAGTAGCCCACAATCACTTGAGGGATTATTACTCCTGGAAAGCGATCCAAATTATACCTAGGTACCGGTGAATGCAGGAGCCCATTTGTGCCCTGCAATGTAATAATAATAATAATAATCCTTGCATTTGATATAGCGCTTTTCACGTCTTCTAGACGTCCCAAAGCGCTTCACAGAATATACTGTAAAGTGAATTGACTGTATATTTGTGGGCGAACGCGGCAGCCAATTGCGCACAGCAATGTCCCACAAACAGTCGTAGATTGAAAATGATTGTTGTTTTTGGTTTTGGAGGGATTATTATTAGGCTCTGTGTGGAGTAAGGAAACTTGCCCAAGGTTTCGCTCTCTGCCTGGAATTGAACTCAGGTTTCTCACTTGCAAAGCGAGTGCTCTAACCACTGAGCTGCAGGACTCCAACAAATGAAGGAAATTAAAGTTAGCTGAACTTCAGTGCAACATTTAAGGAACTGTGAACTGTACTGACTGTGTGTTTGTAAGCGAATGTGGCAGCTAATTCGCACACAACAACATCCCACAAACATGAAGTGAGGGACCAATTTTATTTGGGGGATTGATGGCCAGGACATTGGGAGATAGTTGAATAGTCCCAGGGGATCTTTAACATCCACCTGATCAGGCAGATGGGTTTACATCTCATCCAAAGGACGGGGATGCTTACAACCAAAGCACATAGATGGATAACTGAAAACTGGGAACATAAACTGGAAGCAAATAATCTCAGCGTTGAGGGAAAAAAAAGTTCAAGAAGTTAATCTAAATATTTAAACGTTTAAAACTTCAGAAGCTTCAAGTAGTCAAAAGGAATTGTAACTTGTAGCAGATTAAGGTATTGCCAATGCAAGAGAACGGGAACAACCTGAATTTTTTTGCCTCACTTTGTTAGTTTCTTCCTGCAAACAGTTAGGGATTCATTCACAAGTTGAAATAAAAGTTACTCATTCCATTGCTAATTAACCAAAAGTCTCCCTTGTGTTGACAGGGTAAAAGGGCATTATGCGATTTTTGAAAACGGTGACCTTACATTTAACTTGTGTCACAAACGGGTTCACAGACGACTATACAAACAGGAAGACACTCGTTAATTGGTAACAGAATAAATAACTTAGTTAAACAAATAAATATTCCTTGACAGCCCTCGGGATAGGTAGCTCCATGTGTGGTTTGAAGGTTGACAAGGAAACTTGAAATGATCAGATAGAAGTTGGTCACTTGGCTGGTTCTGGTGTCAAATAATAATAATAATCCTTGCATTTGATACAGTGCTTTTCACGTCTTCTCGACGTCTCAAAGCGCTTCACAGAATAGACTGTGAAGTGAATTGACTGTATATTTGTGGGCGAAATGCGGCAGCCAATTGCGCGCAGCAGTGTCCCACAAACAGTCGTGGATTGAAGCAACCAATTTTATTATTGTTTTTTTTTCTTTGAGGGATTATTATTAGGCGTAATGGCTTCTCATACATGGTTTAGGAGGTTGTGTGAGACCCAGACATGTTCTCCCTAGCCACACGTTGCTCTAATGCTGTTAAAAAGATGCACTATCTATACTATATTTCTTTTCTGGAGGTGGAAAAACAGAATCTTTGAGCAATGATTAAGACAAGCTGGGGCTCTTCAGTTTTGAGAATAAACGTCTCAGATGGTAGGGGTTATTCTGGAAGGATAACAATAACAATCCTTACATTTGGTACATGCCCTGTGTGAAGAGCACTATATATATGCAAGTTGTTATTGAAACCTCAAATCTAGTGGCACAGCCTATATTCCTTTTTAAAAGCCACCCGTGAGTCAAATTTTCAGTCCACCAAGGTCTTTTTCCGAAAGCAAGTTCCTTCATGATAAATTTGCTGCAAGTAACGTGGGCAGAAGAGATTTATTTAATAATTTGCAGTAAGCGAGATGGTCAGCTGATGTTAGTTTTGTTCTTTAAAAGTGGTCTATTTAATGTTGCACTAATAATAATAATCCTTGGATTTGATATAGGGCCTTATCACGTCTTCGAGGAATCTCAAAACACTTGGCTTCATCAAGATGTCTCAAAGCGCTTCACAGAATATACTGTAAAGTGAATTGACTGTGTATTTTGTGAGCAAAACGCGGCAGCCAATTGCGCACAGCAGTGTCCCACAAGCAGTTGTGGATTGAGGGTGTTATAAAGGGGGGGATGGGGGAAAACTCTCCAGCTTTATCCAAGATTAACAAAAAGCTACGAGTTAAAAACAAAATGATAGAGAGAAACAAATTGGAATAATTCTATGTTTTGGTGCGCACTTTACCAAATACAGAGAGAAGGCTGGAGCCACTCACCTGCTCCAGAAGGTAGTGGTCTGGGCTGTAATGATCGTGTGTGTGCCCCAGAGCACACGGAGGCCGGAGTGGCTCGCTGATGGTAGGAGTCAGTACCCTGACTGGCTGCTCTTTCTTGCTTGATGAGTTGGAAGAACTGTCTGTTGCAGGCTAAGGAAAGTGAAGAGACAGAATGAGAACAACAACAACTGACATTTATATAGTGGCTTTCCTGTCGGGAGAATGTCCCAAGGCTTTGAACAGTCAAGGATTTGCACCCGAGCTTTGGACAGTCAAGGATTTGCACCCGAGCAGTGGAGGGCAGGGAGGGTTTGGGTAGGAGGGTGACCGAAGGCGCGATCAAATAGAAAAGCCTTGAGACAGGCTTTGCAGGAGGCAAGGGAGGGGACAAGGCGAAGGAACTGTGGATGGAAAGGGTGGGGGAAGACAAGCTGAAGGCCCGACAGCTGATGGTTGAGGCGGGCCAGGCGGAACACATGAAGCAGGTCGGAACCCGCTGAGCAGAGGGAGCAGACAGGTCGGTATGGAGTTAGCAGTGTCACAGAGGTAAGGAGGAGCAAGGTCCTGGAGGGCTTTGAAAGCGAGGACGAGGATTTTAAACTCTATCCTCTGGGGATGGGGAGCCAGTGGAGACGGATGAGGATGGTGCGGGAGAGGACTTGAGCTGCAGAGTTCTGAATGATCTGCAGCTTGTGGAGGGAAGAGTTGGGAAGACCAACAAGGACACGAGGAAAGTAACACAAAAATCAAATATATTGAACTCCAGTGGACCCGCCCTGATTGAACCGCATTGTACACCGATACACAGAGGGCTGAACTATACTGTGCATCGCAGATGAGCGTTGGCTGCTTCGTCACCTATGAAGTACATTTTAAATCATTAAGAATGCAAGGATTATTATACAAGGTCCACAAACACACGTTATCCTATTTGTTTTTACACGGTGCACTGATCAAGAACTGGAACATGTGGAAGAATGATGATAATTGTATTTAGAAGTCTTAATTGTATTCAGTACAAGTGTTTAACTGCAAATAGACTTCCAGAGGATTAGTATGTGTGAGCGCCATCATTTTCATGGCAGATAATGATCCGTCACCATGTTTGGTGCGACATCTTCCGTAAGATGATGGAGTGACGAGGCGATATCTGACGGCTTGTTTCAGCTCCTCCAAAGTCTGACATCGCTGTTTTGTATCAGAGGGTAACAGGACTTTGTGGACACTGTGTACAGTAAATCCTGTGAAACGTTTTGCGACGTATTCCCAATGTGAAAGACAAATGCAAGGAATATCATCATTATAAAATGTATTGCTAATGCAGTTGTAAGCATCCAAGGTTAGGAATGAACATTACAATCACAGAGTTTTTCTTAATTAGATCTTTAAGGAGACTAACACAAACAGCTTTCCCTGTCTCATTGAGGAACCAGAGCCTTTTTCTTAACAGAAATTGGTAATTAAGTGGTTGTTTTTCCACACATTAATAATAATAATCCTTGCATTTGATATAACGCCTTATCATGTCTTCGAGATGTCTCAAAGCGCTTCACAGAATATACTGTAAAGTGAATTGACTGTATATTTTGTGGGTGAAACATTAAACCTATTGTAAACCATATCCAGGATCTACAATGCAAGCACATGATTCAGGCCAAAAATATTTAACAACTCTCTGCTTAGTTTTTTCCAATGAAACATAGCTTTTTTTTGCAACAAATACTACCATACACATTGTACACAATCATAAAGTCTCCCCACAAGAAAGAAAATGTTGTGGTCCCCATACAGGATGTATTCATTTACTCCCACTAGATTCCGGGACATACGTTTCTGCTTTACTGGCGTAAAAATTTACGCTTTTCACCTTCGCAACACCAGTTTTGCAAGGAAGCCGGAACGTGCAACTGCAGCCCATACTAATGCATCCTTTTTTGCTATAAGATATCCTGAGGTCAGGACTGATGGATTATAAAATCAGCTGCATGTCTTCAAATCACCCATTGAACGGATAATGGCAATAAGTAATGTGAATGGGCTTGAGCTCATTCTTCAGTTACACTCTGGTGGAGGTAGAAGCCCCGTTTTAACCAGGAAGTTGACATAATTTGCACTGAGCTTCTCACACCCTGGGATATGAGAAAGTGTAGGCGACGAAAGTTACGTGGATCATTGGAGTTCTGCAGGGGCCATGTGGGATGTCAATTGCAGACCTGAGGAACTGCGCTGGATATTATGAGCGGGCACCTGGGTATTATTTCAATGGATCAAATAACTCCAATTGACCAAGGCCGACTGAAATTGCATTTAAAAAAATGGAGTGAATAGCGCACTCAGATAATGTCCGCCCCCCCCGCCCCAACCCAGCCTGACACTTTCCTTTGTCAGTGTTGTCAGAGGTGACGCCTTACGGATGAGATGGTAAACTGAGGCCCCGTCTGCCTGTCCAGATGGATGTTAAAGATCCCGTAGTGCTATTAGAAAAGAGAAGGGAGTTTCTCCCGGTGTCCAGACCGACAATCCCCCCGCCCCCGATAAAAACAATGTCCTTGTTTGAAGGACATTGCTATGGACGTCCTCCCGATGTGAAAGACGCCATACAAATGTAATTTTGTTGTTTGTTGTTGTTGCTGTGTACAAACCTGCTGCCATAATCACCCACAAGACACTCAGTCATTGCGCTTTAAGACAGTCTCTCACTGTGAAAAGTGTTATATCAAATTTAAGGATTATTATTGTATTTATTTATAGATATATTTATATATTATTATTATGTTGGCGTGAGAGAAACCTCCACTACACACCCAGGTCTGAGCTCTGCCTGCAACCCTCGGGAGACTGTTCAAGCTAATGCGTGGCTGGTTAAAACCACCCTGAGCTGTTAAATCCTCTCACCGTATGGTTCAGGATAAAAACAAATCTGTGGTAGCTGAATTACTGTGGTCTCATAGATGCCAAGATTTCCTGTGTAAAAAAAAAGGGTCGCGCAGTACGGTCAGAGATGTCTGTGTGCCCAGAATTTTTATAAGCTTACATAAGATTGTGTAGAACTTGAAGCTTGAACACGTTTTTCCCTTCTCCTTTAGAAAGCAACTTGGAAACACATTAACTCCAGTTTCACAATACTCCTTCCAGGATCAACTAAACTCACTCCAAGTCCCTGCTGCGTAGCCATATCACGAGTAAAGACAATTTGCTCTTTTGAGAATTATTTTAGGGTTGATAATAATAATCCTTGCATTTGATATAGTGCCTCACCAACATCTCAAACAACTTCACAGGATTTAGTATAAAGTGTAGTGACTGTATTTTTAGTATTGTAGGCAAACGTGAGATGATAGGAGATGCCCGGAGTGACCAGCATTGATTGCCCTGCGAAGGCAAGATAGAGTTTGACTTCACACACAATACACACCTCACAGAAAACAATTGATGGAGCTTTTATTCAAACAACTCTAGAGATTTGGAACGGAAAGCAAACCAGAGCTTGGACTCTTTATAAGAAACAACAGTTAGTAATATAAGATGTTTTGCCCTGTTACTGTGTCAAAAAAAANCTGGTCAAACTACAAGGCACAAGAATTTTGTTTAACGTCTGCTCCACATCCCCCGCCACAACCGCCCTACCATCGGTGGTCGGGCCTTCAGCCTCTCAGCCCCGAGGCTCTGGAACTCCATCCCCCAGTGCCTTCGCCGCCTCCTCCCTTTCCTCCTTCAAGGCCGGTCTCAAGACCTTTCTCTTTGACCGTGCCTTCAGCTCCCCTCTCGACTCTCTACCCCCTCCTCGCTCCCTCCCTTCCCCCCCCTCACCCTGACCATTTCCCCCCTGCTCGGGTCCTAACCCAACTGTCCAGCGCCTTGGGACGTCCTCCCGACGTGAAAGACGCTCTATAAATGGAATCTTGTTATTGTTGTTATTAACAATGTTTTCCCATTCATTTCCCAAAGCTAACTGTTCTCTTGTACTTGTGGTGCAATATAACCATTCTCTCTTTTGTGCAGTGAGTTTAACGGATAGGGTGGTCCTAGCTGGACAAGCAGCGAGAAAGCTTGCCAAACAGCGATATCAATGGCAAGCTATGTGGTTTTAGCTGGTTAGACTCCAGGCTCTTGCAAATCTTCGCCAAATAGTTTCCGGAATTAGGTAAGCAGGAGGCGTCCCTCCAGGGAGAGAGTGCACATTCCATTCCAACAATTTATCTCTGGGATTTCCATGTGTAGGTGGAATGACTGAAATTCTCAGTTTGGTTTGGATGCTCTTTAAGCACGGTGATGGGGTTTCTGCAGGCGTCAGACACTCAGCTGCACCCCCACCCCACCCCCAAAATAAATAAGTTCACTGTGACGTGCTGCTGGCTACTTACAAATTAAAAAGCTGGGGGAAAGCACAGACCGGTGTTGGGTTAATGGACAGGTGGATGGTCCAATGGGAGCACTTACTCACTTCGGTCATTAAAAGTTGCGCAAGCTATAAAAACTTGTGATTTTCTTACAGTCTTAATTGTAATGTTGCGGGAACAATGTACAAGTTGTGGAGTGATCTGGGTGAAGTCAAAGTTTTCCTTCCATGTACAATATGTCGTGTCTGGTAATAATAACAGCAGCAGCAACATCAATTTACACTGATGTAACGGTTGCCTTTCATATCCAAAGATGGCTGATGGGTACGTGAATTTGTTGATGGTGTAGAAGCTACTGCTAGCACAGCATCCACACTCTTAGATACCAAGCAGCCTAACCTGGTGTCAAGGAATATCCGAGAAGACCAGACTACTTGCTAACCGCACTGACAGAAATCATTACCCCCAGCAAGCGATTCTTGCATTTGATACAGCACCTTATTGCGCCATTGAGATGTCTGAAAGCGCTATATAGAATATATTGTAAAGTGGATTTGTGGGCGAAACGGGGCAGCCAATTGCACCCAGCAGTGTCCCATGAACTGTCATGGATCTCACTCGGCGCTGTACCTTACATAGCATCTCACGCACACAACACTGTACCCTATACCGCGTCTCGCTTAGTCAATAGCTCTCTCAACTCAGAGTCAGAAGGTTGTGGGTTCAAGTCCCACATTGGGACTTTGATCTCAGTCTAGTCTGACTCTCCAATGCAGTGCTGGGGAATTGTTGGGAGGTGCTGTACTTTGG